GGTGACGTCATCAACAATACGGACTGAGTTTTCCGTGGGGTCTGTGCAGAGTGCTCATAAGAGAAGTGAATTCAGAAGCTAAGAGCAGTTGAGGGTACAAGGGCGAGAATGGAGCATTCCATTTATTGTACTAAATGAAGTGTCTGAAAAGACAGACTGTGGGCTGCATGGGCTCCAGCCTTAAATCCATAACATTTTTGTCAGTGGAGAAACCTTAAAAATTGTGTTCAAAGGCACATGCATAACATTTGTGAAAATATTACATCCATCAAAGTCAGTGAACTCAAACTAGTATAAACAATCTCTTTTGGAGACTTATTAAGTGCACAAGGCAACATTCTGAAGTACTCTTGTGATAGTGAGTTCCTCTAACAATTTATTTACTTTAAAAACTGCATGTTGTGTTTGCAATCTTGATTCAATTAACAAGAGAGTAATAGTATCAGGTAATCATCTTCAAGAAAGACTCTGTATTATTCCTTTTTATTAAACTGAGAGAGCAGATCCATATGCATATGATGTATATACAAAGAGGTTACTTGACAGCCTTCAGCAAATCCTTGGCTGGCCCAGTGGGAGCAATACACGCTACTTGCATCAACCTACACAATGTACATTTGGACTCATGACATACTTATCAGGCCAACAGCCTATTTCTCTCCATTATCATCAAAACAAATCTCTGAACATCTATTGTGAAATGAGCTTATGTATTAAATGCCTGTCAACCATAATCTACTTCTTTCTTACACATGATACCCATGTGGAAAGTAAGAAAACTATTCAGGCATAAATTTTGGAATGTTAGAGTTATAAAAAGAATGAAAGAAAGAAAAGGCCTATTCACATGATCAGAAATAGATTTAGAAAGACAGGGTCAATGTTGGGTAAGAAAGGAACCTACTCCAAACACCAAGTGCTCAGTGAAGAGAATTTTGCTTTAACATTGCCCTCAGAAAATCCTCTCACAATGTGCGGGGGAAACTCGAGTTTAAAGTTTTCAGGGTCCATCAGACACTTCAACATGCAAATGGAAACATTCTACAGAGATGTAGAGAATGCACGCGTAATAACAGGGACATTTCTGGCATTTGTCATGATCCAGGTAGGATCTACGATATTTCAGATTTTTTTTTTGTGCACAGGCTTGAAGACTGTATTGCAGTCCAAACACTCTCAGGAAAAATTGACATGAACAGTGTGAGACCAAATATCTCCAGCAAGCTCTTAAATAATTTTCATGTAGTGCTGTAAAACCAATATTTTATAAAAGTGTTTCATAAAATTGTTAAAATGTTTGCCTATTTAAAATTACAATATTATTATAAGCCCATATTAATACAACCTTTATTACTGTTTTATTATCTTCAGGTTCTAGTTGACTTTCAAGGAAGATGACCACAATATAAGCAACCAATAATGAATTGAAGTTACAGTATATAATATCCTTAATTCCTGTGATTTAAGTAAGAAATCGTTTTTGGAAATTTTACACAGTAAAAACCTCACTAACCTACACTTACTCAGGGAAGTAGTCCAAATTACAGAACACAATTATATGTCAAACACTTCCAAGTCATAGCTAATTTTAAAAGTGGAACACTGTATTGTTTTCATTACCAATTAGATACTCATCTAAGCAAACAGGAAGAGGGAAACTGAATCAGTAAATTCCTGTTAAGGAAAACTTCCATTCTGCATAAATAAAATGCACATATAAAAACAGTGTAAAGGTCTTATTGTACTGTCTGGAAATATTACATGGAAATAAACCATGTACACAGATATTGTGTTCATAATCTTTGCTGTGGGAGAGTTAAGCTGGACTAATGCATAATATACCAGCATGCTCTTCGCTATGTTTCTGATGATCAATGACAACTGCTAATGCAGTGGATTCCAGTTAACTGGGACACACTGGGACTAGAGTGCTTTGCCCCAATTAAGCAGCTGCCCCACATATACAAAGTTGCATGTAAAGGTTTAGAGAGATATGTAGCATGCACATACGGCAAAATATAAGCGTTTCGTTTACTAAGTAACAAATATATTAACTTTAGTTGAGCTGAAACAATTGGTGCAAAGCATAGAAAAATATTCACCCTAGGAACAAATTTGTTTCATTTATGTATTCAACATGCATATGATTCTTAACAGTTGGTAACACTGGAGAAATTGATAAAGTGTACCCTGTCATACTTCTTTTGGCTTATTTTGGACTTCATCCATCATCTGGTATGTAAAAGACAAAAGACCACAACGTTTCGGAGACTGGATCTGTCTCTGTCTGTCTTCAGGTGGGTAGAGAAGGATAAACCTACTTGGTTGGGCCCGTTAGAAAGAGCTAGTCTCAATCACTGGTCCAGTGAGTAGGTTTATCCTTCCCTACCCACCTGAAGACAGACAGAGACAGATCCAGTCTCCGAAACGTTGTGGTCTTTTGTCTTNTTGAAGACAGAGACAGATCCAGTCTCCGAAACGTTGTGGTCTTTTGCCTTTTACATACCGGACGATGGATGCAGTCCAAAATAAGACAAAAGTGGTACAGTATACGAGTACACCATCGTCAGAATCCTTTCAAGTCTATCTGTACCCTGCCATGTTCACTTGATTGACTGCAAGTGAACAAAATCAGCACAGGTTTCTAGTGCAGATATAGGACTGCCTGCACTGACTTCCTGAATGAAATAAAGTCAAAGTTCAGCAGAAAATTTCCTGTCATTCTGGTTAATCACTTGTTCATGCTCAGTCATGATATCCTCATCGGTTTCCTCATCTTCTGATGAATTCTGATGTTTGATAATTGCTTTCTCGCAATCTTCATTTTCACTATAATGCTGAAGACTATTTTCGATGCATGAAAACTCATCATAATTTCCCAAGTTTTGCATTTCCAATGTGACATCATTTTCACTATTGGCCTTAATCAGTATCTCCAAGTCTGAGTGTTTAAATGAATAGTGAGCAAAGCAGTTCTGAATGGATTTGGTACTTAATCTTCGCAACTATCAGCAATAAACTCTACAGCTTGTAAAACATCAGTCCCCACACTGACCTCCTCAGCTGCAGAAAAAGATTTCAGTAGATTTTCTTGAATTGCTTCCAAGATGTAGATTACCAACTCTGCACGATATAAAATCTTCAAATTTTTTGATTCCCATGCTCACTGGCTATACCAAGGATGTGGTGTTGGGAGACAGAAATTCCAGTTGAATCTAAATGAAGGTGTGCTGCGCAGCTGTCAAGAACCAGTAACATCTTCTCAATTTCCATTGTAATTCTACATTTCAACTCATTAGCCATTTCTTAAAAATTTCAGATTTCATCCAAGCATTTTTGTTACCATAGTAGAGAACTAGTAAACTGTCCATACTAATCCCCTTAGTGCACTGAGGCTTAGTCCTTTTCCCAGTAACCAACAGCTTCCGTTTATTAGTTTCTGACATGTCTGAACAGCACAACACACTTGTAAAATCCATTGCTTTCTACGAACCAGTTAGAGTTGCATGTTTGTAGCTTAAGGAACCATCAGGTGTTGCATGATAAAATAAACCCATTTCACTGGCACTGTACATTCATTTGTGAAAAATTTCTGAAGCAAGTTTGGCAGCTTTGTACATTTCCAGTGTTCAGCACCTACAGTATCAGCACTGTCCTTCTCACTGTGTGCCTTCTTGAATTTTATCCAAAACCTGCATTTCCATCGAAACAACAACCATCTGTTGCCTTGAAAAGGTTATGACCCAGCTTTTTACCTAACTCCTCTGACTTGTTTTTAACAATGGACAACTGAGACTTACACCATGTCCAGTTACAATAGGAAACCACTGAGTAAGGGACTCTTCAACATCTGGATCCTTGCCTTCACGCTTCCATTTCTTAGGAAGTTTCCTGTTGTCCATCTCACAGTTTCTCTTGCTGCTGTATAATGCATGCAGCTGGCAAGGACTGGTGTTAGGCAGTTGGTTTTTAACTAGTACAAGTGTGACAATTTTGACAGTGAGAGTTACATCTCTCCTGGGCATTTCTGTGGGAATCTAAAATTTTAAACCAAAAAAAAATGCTGCACACGCCACAGCAGACTCACAAACACCCTCACTGCAAGACTGAGAGCAACTGCATGCAGCTAGGTGTTCATTTATTCTGAGTCAGTGACTCACTGATAACAGTAATCACAAGTGTGTCACATGGCAGCAACCGGCCCAATTAAAGCACATGGTCCCCCAAATAAGTGAAGCAAATTTCGGTTATACACTAGTCTTGTTTTGGTTCTTCCGGATTTGCCCCATTTAACCAGAATCCACATACGTACACTGTTATTAACAAAAGTGAATAAAACACACAGGAATGCTGCAAATGAGATTAAATTTTTTGCTTACTCATCATACGCATTCAACAGATGCTGAGACAACTGTTACCCCAAACTGGATCACTACAGACAGTGAGTGCATCAGGTAAGAAACATTACAGTCATAGGCACAAGCTTCATTAGGTGCTGACAGATCCCTGACCTATTTAACAATATGGACCAATATATAGTACAAAAATAGTGGGTATACAATGTGTGATCTGGGTACTATACTTCAGTGGCCTACATTTTACCTGTTAAGAAAAATGAAATATTTTCCATCTGCCAAGCACTAGTGTCATACATTAGAGATTTAATTATACACTAATTAATACTACATTTGCACTACCCATCATAAACATTTGGTACCATCAAAGCAGATTGTTCAAGAGCACTTTGCATATACACACTGAAAATCAGAGTAACTAAATCTAAAATAATAGTTTCATGTATATACATTCATAAAGCACATACAACATATATTTCCAAAGCCATGTGAAAAAATTTCTGCATCATTATCATCTCTGCAACACAATTTGAATATGCATCGACTATCAGAATCCTGCTTAACTACTTACAATGCATACACATTTCTTTAAAACCTCTTCAACTACCAGTCAATTATGGAAGAAGTCTTTCAATAAAAACTTACATTTTGGTTTCTGCTTCTCCATTAGCATCAATTGTTCGTGCTTATGCCAAGCATCAGGACGTTTGGCTTGCACCACCACCGAGCTGTCCATCGCCCGTGTGGCCACTGGCGACACCTCCGCATTCAAGAGCACCATCGAACCATGAGGAACGCTGCCACCAAACTGCAGGTTTGGATCCAGAATTACAGTCAACACGTTTTCAGTTCACAATCAGAACTACAGACACTAAGGCCTTAACAGCACAATGTCACTTACTATCAAACTCCTTATGAGTGCTCTGTGAAATATTCTGTTAGACAGGCCTTGGTTTCAGTTAATTTATGCAGCACTGTTTGCATTACAAAATGCAAGAAAAGATAGATATAACTTTCAGAGGTAAGAATAATTACACTGACCTTGAAATCAGATTCATAAATTTACTTTAAGCAACACTGGACTGCACATCATTACTCTCCTTCCTAACTCCATAAAAAATGTAAACAAACCAACATGGGTGCAGTCACTTGACTCAACTCACTTGACTAGGGGGTAGGCCTATGTAATCATTCCTCTAATATTTTCGTAACTAATCATAAAGAACTTGAACGTTTTCACATGTGCACTGATACTTCTCCTACACAAGGACGGCTTCACTTTGTTATGACCAAAATGAAAGAGCTATGGGCAGTCACAGCGAAAATCCTCCTCCTATACAGCGTAACTACTAGTCACATCAAACACGATACTGGCAAGTTTACCTAATACAGGTACAATTTCAGTTCTTGATAATCTCTGAAGACCAACAAATTCTTCAATTCGCGAATTCCAAGGTAAAACGATTAACGGTTTCTTCGGCCTCAATCCTCAACAACCCATCTGTTATACTCACACCCCCGAGACGGCTACAATGGACTCGCCCACTCGGGTCAAAAGCACGGTAAGCAAAATAACAGCAGACTTGCAGCCCCAGACAAGCAAATACCGTACAATAACTCTCTAATATATGTTTGTTCCTCTGGAATCTAACAGCATCCTCACTAATGGCGTGTTTCCTAGAACTAATCAAAATAAACATTCACTTCACTTCATTCGAGCTACTACAGATTGTAGGCTCAAATACGAGCTTTCCCGTACCATGTATAACACCATTTCTAGCACAGCGAAGGGGTTACAACTCAGATATGCATACACCATGATGTACCCGGTACAGGTAACCTTCAATGTCGTGATCTAGTCGAACATATCATTCACTGATCCAAAACACGAGCCATTAACAATGAAGCACGCCCCACAGCATTGATATCTTCCAACATGGCAGACACTGCACTAAACTGGCGTGGTCGCGCACGACGGTGGGTCAGGTCCCGTGATTCTCTCGCACCGAAGCAAGCGAGCGCAGAGAACTCTGTAAACCGCTAGCACAATTCCGGTAGCAAAAGAAATGGCCGACACTAGATTTATTATCTCAGAAATCAGTTGTGATCTGATTCTTAACGCACAAAAATACTTCCGAAACACAACTCTTACACGTACACTACTCAATATTCAAAATTTATTGACTAAGCGAGGCGTGGCTTTTAGCAACATACTGGCGTTGATTGATGTGTCTGATGTGTCTCTATGGCACCGAAACCATCTTACGTCCATGTTCCCCATTGGCTGACATCGCCTTGTGACATCACGACTGGAAGCATTCAGCCAATGAGAGTACAGTTTACGTTTAAATTCTTAGCGGAGTTCCACTAGAGGGTAAATGCGTCATGTCCTTCTATTGGGTGAATGAACGCCGAAACTATCACGTCGCTATGTGAGGAAACAATCACCATGATTGGCTGATAGCACATATTTTGAACCAATCGAAATAATGGCGCCGTTTAAATTCCTTTCTTGAGGGAAATGGAAGTGACGACCAGCAAGACATGACATCAACTTACATATTTTTTGTATCTAAATATAATAACACTCTTAATCCAGCAGTGAAATGTGTGTAACATTGTATGTACAAAAGTTTCCACTTCACATTTAATCCATTATATTGCTGGAGAGACTAAGTTTCTTTTGAAGAGGATTAGATATGACCATTTCGTTCCATGCGCACACATTACTTTCAATATAAATCCATATTCCCCCCTGCGCGTGGGAACAGAGACAACTATGACGTCACTGATTTGGTGACTGGCGAGATTGAGTAAATAACCAGCTTTCCAGTTCGTATTTGTCACCGTGTGAAGCCTTGGGATGGAAATTTCCTTGCACAGCTAAAAGACAAGGCAATCACGTGCCAGAGCGTCGTAAGTTACGGTAATTGTGAGTTCGCAACTTCATGTCACCAATAGCACTGCTACGGTGATGCAACAGAAATGATTCTCCAAATACCTTAAATTTACGCATTTCACATGCAACCTATTCCGTGGATACTGCTGGCATAGTACGTCCTTAGCACCGTAACGGTAGACATGACGAGTGATGTTGGTCCAGTATGAGCTACAGCCATCTATTGACCACAACAACAATTATACTCGTCACCAAGGTAGACGTCCTTTCAGAAATCAGGGGGACAGTAATAATAGCAGCATGAGTAGGAATGTATGACGCTGAATTCCAGAGACCTTCAAGAAAAAATATTGTGTTTCCCTAGACAGCGTTAAACATCTGTTTCTCTTAATACTTGGAGCATTCAAACCATCTTCCTCTGGACCGTAATAAACACAGAGAGCTTATTTGAGAACCTACAGCAAATCCTTCGGCTGGTCCTGCGGAAGAACCAGAATCCCTCGCGTCAATAAGCTTCTCCATGAGCGTTCGGGCTTGCAGCCTATAAGACAACAGATCACAAACATCCTCGTAGTTTACGGCAGATGCCGGAAATGGTCCCTATTATTACACATGCATTTCTTTGGATCTATAGAAAGTTTTCATTCGTGTGTTAAAGTTTCCTTCAGACACAGGGAAAACTTAAAGCCTGCACCCTTTAATCCCTATTTCCTGTGAAACTGGTCTAGGTATTTTTAAACGTCTATTTCAGGCAATTTCTCTACAGTGAGCACTCGGTGTTTCGATCTTATCCAACAAGAACGACCTTCTCAAAAAAAAAAAACCGTGGCCTGTAGTCCGCAAGCGAACTATACCGACCGATCGACCGCCACTTGTCGGCGAAGTTAGTGCCACCTTAAGCGGATAGAGGGTGTTGCATGGTCAGCCCAGCCCCTTCTCCGTCTAATTTATTTTTGATTATATGAACAGTATTTTTATTTGTGACTGTAGCATCCTAAAATATATTTTGGGAAAATTTCCTTACTATCCACACGAATATCGTGCATGAACTGTCATCTACAATTTCGAGACTAAACGTAAACCGATTGATTCAATGTTAAGCACAACCGAAAAGGATGAGGTCATGATCCAATGACATATAACACATAAACTGGATTCACGGCAGCTGTTCAAAGATTTATTGGGGCGTTACTGGGGAGAAAATGTAATACTTTGTGGGCCACGGGTCTGTCGACTACCCGAGTGCGAACGCGCCTTGCGAGTTGACGCGAGCAGCGTGCTCCTCCCACTAGACCTGCAGAACGATTTGCTGCAGGTACTCAGATAATCTTTCTGTATAGTAATAGAGTAATCGGATTAGTGGAAACCTTAATTAAATGCTAAAAATGTATTATAAAAAAGAGATTTCTAATGTGAATTTAAATCCGATAACCTTGCCGAAATATTTATGCTGCATAATACTCTTACCTAAGTTCTTACTTTTTTAGTTTACGATGATGTCAGTATCTCGAGACATTTAGCGTATAACTGGGATGATTTTTGAAGCAACTGTGGCATAATTGAGATACTATCCTAGCATTTGAATCGAGGGACTGAGGAAACCCCCCCAAATCCTACGTCAGAAAAACTGTTGTCCTGGCCGAGCTTCGAACTGGCACCTTTCGAATACAAGCCTACTTATTTACTACTACACCAGCCTACCCGGCCCCACAACTGCGCATATACATTATAGAAACTGGTTTATGGGATATGAACTGCGTTGTCACGTGATAAAGTGACCATAAATTGGAGTCTTGATTGGTAATTCAATTTATTTAACTCTTACAGAACATAACTACAAGTAAGTACAGCGCTATCGCTAATTCACAAAAACTTCAATTCACTACAGCACACACTAAGTCTTCTCAGTCTGTTGTGTCTTCGCCAGTCGTCTGGTGATTGTTTCAATGCCGTAGATCCCTCAACTTCCGTGTTCACGTCCTTACTTGCTGGCGATTGTCTCACAACTAACTAAAGTCTAGACCTTTTCTGCTTATAACACTTCGGCACGGCCCGCACAGCAAACACCTCTCCCAACAGCTCTTCTATTGCTGCGTCACGCAGCTGTCGTAAGGACCGCGTAGAGAACACCGCTTCCAAGTTAATCCATTGGTGCTTGTTAGGAATCTGTTGCCTAGAAACGGGCGTTGTTTACAGAGTCATTAATTAGCAACGGGTCTACTTGCTACAGTATTAATGTAGCCCATGTTTCGGTGAGTCTAAAAGACTGGGGTAATTTCGTTGACTAATTGAACGACCATTAGCTTCTCAAGAATGGCGTTTATCTATGGAGTTGTCTAGATACTTATACTGTGCCTTGAAATGAGCCTGTCCGTATACTGGTGATAAGATTAATTCATTGAATAAACTAGGATTTTGTATCCATAATCCATACGATAAGACTTATCATTATATGCATTCATTCAATCTCTCAACATGCTCTCCCAGTTGTGAACTTTACAATAAACCGAAAATATTCATTATTATTTTCATTAAAATGTAGTCCTATTTAACTGGTTTGCTTTTTGAAAAACTGCTGAAGATTACAAATTGACTATTAATCTGCAATCATGATGGGTTCATGAAGTGTGACAACAGTTTGCTCGTATTACTAGTTGAATTCATAACAAACACTCATTAGCTGGGATAAAACTAAACAAAAGAGCTAAAAGAACAAAAACCACTCCGTGGTTTTAGTCCGCAAGCGAACTATACCGACCGAGCGAACGACGTTTGTCGGCGAAGTTAGTGCCAGCTTTAGCGGATAGAGGGTGTCGTGTGGTCAGCGCAACGGATCCCCACGGCCGTTAATCTCGGTTTTTTAGACTGGAGCCGCTATTTCCTGGAAATAACCCCTCAGTTATTCTCAAGAGTCTAAGTGGACCCCGTTCCAGACCCACTACTTCTCAGAAAATCTGGTATCGCCAGGAATCGAACCCGGGACCTCTTAATCTGTAGCCAGGAACTCTGACCCCTAGACCACAAATATAAAAATATTCAAATATCTATAAAGAGGTTACCTGCAACGAGACAGCGGTAGAGGGACATTTAATCCTGCTCCATGAACCAGAATAATTGCTGAGAAATCATAATTGCTCTACTATTCAATAAATTCCCAAGTGTTCATTGCTGTATTACTAGCAGCTCACCACTGGGCCCTGCCATGAGTCAGACGAATCCGTCCCACATCCTCAGACTTCTTTAAGATCAATTTTCATATTATCATTTCACATACTCTTTGGTCTCCCATGTCGGTAGCCTGGTCATCTGTGATCCTTTACTAATAACGCTTGAACAGGCTGTTTGATTTTTTTTTTGTGATCCTTATAATATTCTATCGTTTTACACTTTAATTTCAAAGCATCTATACTACCAACATGGCAGCCATGCGAAGCTATGGAGTACCAGCGACCCTAGGAATACCTAATATAGTGGCCCAAACTATTATGTGCGATAACTCCATTTCCACAAATATGCAGCTCTTGTTATTGTTGATGATGACTAGTAAACCGTACGAACTAAGGATATAAAAATTTTATGGCAATAGATACAGAGCTCTAAGTTCGATACAACGATGTTGTTCGGGCCTTACCTTGTCAAAATTACAGACGTGTTGAAGGTGAGGAATTTTAGATTATATACGATATATTTAAAGTAGTTGGAATCTGTACTGTCACCAGTTACGCACAGAAATAACCAACTCCAAGAAGCGGAGATCTTGAGACCCTAACAGTCATTCGGGTAGTCAAAATATTTCTCGCCTTGTGGAGAACCCAAAGGCCCGTAACCACCGTTCACAAGAACCGTCCCTGTAAATTACTTATTTATGTATCTATTTATTTAAGGATGCCGTCAAGTACCTCAGGCTATTTAGCATCGAATGATATGACGATTAATCAGCTGAATAGGATGGGAGAGAAAGTTCTTGTGACGTAACATGAAGTATTATCCTGGAGTTAGCCTGGAAGGAAGCGGCCTCCGTAGTCTAGAGGTAACGTTCCCACCTCATGACTCGTAGTACGCGGGTTCAAATTTTTAAGGGCGGAAAAATTCAGGGAACAAGTCCTCGGGGAGGGACTTTAAGCCGTGGGTCCCGTGTCGTAACTTTACGGCACGTAAAAGAACCTCATGTCTCCAAAGGAGGCCACTGAGCAAAATTACGGACGTTTCCCGCCCAACAGCAGTCTCTAATACCTCTGGTAGATAGGGGAAGCATTACAGTTACCACTCAGCTAGTAGAGGCCGATCTCGCTGGCTGGGCGGGACTGATGGTAA